TGCTACTCTTATTTGCTACTCGTTCTTTGCATGGGACTAAGCCCTGTCCCGCATACCTACATGAGGCTAATCCTTGCCTCCCCATCTGCATGAGGCTAATCCCTGCCTCCATATCTGCATGAGGCTAATCATTACCTCCATATCTGCATGAGGCTAATCCTTGCCTCCCTATATTGCATGAGGCTAATCCTTGCCTCCATATTTGCATGAGGCTAATCCCTGCCTCCATATCTGCATGAGGCTAATCCTTGCCTCCCTATCTTGCATGAGGCTAATCCTTGCCTCCATATTTGCATGAGGCTAATCCCTGCCTCCGTATCTACATGAGGCTAATCCTTACGTCCCTATTTGCATGAGGCTAATCCTTGCCTCCCTATCTTGCATGAGGCTAATCCTTGCCTCCATATCTGCATGAGGCTAATCCTTGCCTCCCTATCTGCATGAGGCTAATCCTTGCCTCCCCACCTGCATGAGGCTAATCCTTGCCTCCCTATCTGCATGAGGCTAATCCTTGCCTCCCTATTTGCATGAGGCTAATCCTTGCCTCCCTACCTACATGAGGCTAATCCTTGCCTCCATATTTGCATGAGACTAATCCTTTCCTCCACATTGGCATGGGACTAAGCATTGTCCCTCCTTGCATAAGTATTGCTCTATTCCGGTAATATCTATTTGCTTTTCTATCGTGCTAAGCTCTGCCCTTCATTTCACAAGACTAAGCCTTTTCTTGTTAACATCATATTATTGCGCCTCATGGGCTGAAATATTGCCAATCTATCCAAAGGCGTCATAGGCTAAAGGCATCATCCTCATAGCCGGAAGACACCATGCCATGGCCTGAGGATCTCTCAAATTTGCATACTCCTAGCCGGCATCATCCTTGCCTCCACCTGCATTCTATTTAACCTACTAGTTCTGTAGAACCCCTTTAAAGTTCTATGTATCCTGTTGTTTGTGTGATCCATTGAGGTGTACTCTCTGTGTTCCCAACCCCTCTTCCCTTATGTGAAAGCTGTTTGCCAAAGTACTCCCTAAAACTGTTTGTTCCATGACTTGTGTTTTGATTGCTAATTATTTCTTTTCCTCAAATTGTTTTATCACTAAATCAGTACTGGTTTTCAGAAACTCTTTTCACTCCTAAGACCTTTCTTTATACTGTCTATAAAACTCTTTCAAACCATTATGCACTTTCACTTACTCCTAGATTATTAAGTCCTGCCCCTCTGGTATGTGTACTGCCGTGAGACCCTTGAGATCTCTCTGAACTCTGGCATATCAGGGCTGGCCCTTCTACACTGCACATAAATCAGTTCATTTGGAAAGGTCTGGGTGTGAGCACTGCCCGGGATCCTTGAGGTCCTTAGGGAACTCTGACACACCTAGACATGAAATTGGCTATGGAACTTTGAGCACTTGAGGTTACTAAAGGCTTGGAGATCATTTTGGGCCTACTTCAAGCTCCCTATAGATTAATGTATATTGTATTTTATGTAATTTATTCAATTCTTGGTCTGTAATAATCAATTGTAAACAAATATTGGGGAGAATAGTGAAAAAGGGAGGGTAGTTATATACTGTGGGTAAAGTTAGGTAGATACCATGCCTATAGGGTCCATGTTGATTCAAATGTGTTTGTTAGATAACATGCCTATAGGATCTGCTTTGGTTTAAATAAGTTCTATTTGCTTTACTTCCACACAATTAGAAGCCATGCATATAGGATCTAATTCAGCTTTTAATAATTAGGTACTATGCCTATAGGAGTTAAAATCGGCTTTAATAGAAATCAGACTTATAGGGATTTCACTTTGGTCAAATAAATTCTGCTTGTTTCGCCTTATGTTTAATTAGAAATCATGCCCATAGGACCTAAAACCAGTTTAGTTAGATCTAAAAAAAATCGATTTAACTCATGTTTATAGATTCTGAGTGGGTTTAATTAACTAATCTGTCCGTTTCTCTAATAAGTTTTCAACGCTGCCTTAATTAATACTACTAGAGAGCATGCCTATAGGATCCAAATGGCCCGTTTAAATTTGCTTACTGTTTTACTGCATTCCTGATCAGTGATTAGATACCATGCTATTACACGCCTAGGCAAGACTGTAGGGCGACTAAAATTCTGCAACCCTATAAAACTACGCCTTGTCATTTGAGACTGCTTATATTCAACAGGTCTAAAACAGTAGGCAAACTGAATAGGCCTTTCACACTTTGGTCCTAACTCAATACTGCATATTCTCTGCTCACCTAGATATCCTGTTCTAGGACTTCTTTTAAATACCTGAAACTGTGTTTAAGACGTGCACTTGTTTGCTCTGTTTGTGGAGGTAAATGTGAGCCATTAATTGTTCTCCTTTCAGTGCAGTCCTAATTGTTTTGTTTGACGCCTAGATTTTTCTCCTTTAAGTGCATTAGGATGCTCTAGAACTACCTGAATTAGAGGTCCTAAATACCTCCAGGGCCACAAGGAAGGGACGGGTAGTGCACGCATAGGATATCTCTCAAGGTTGCTAGAACGCTTTAGGCCATGACCAAAGGGGAGTGAATTGGGTAGTAAGGATATGATGACTATGCGCTAATGCCATGTGTAGCCCCTCATTGAGGAGTGATTACCGGGCATTGTGTGGGTATGATCCTATAGGCTAACCAACCTAGGACTCCCTTTTCCCAATTCCATATGTGTTTAAATATAAACTTTCTTCTCTTTACATATACATGTGCATATTGTTCAAGTTTCTCTCTTGCTCCCATTACCTAAATCGTCTCTGTATTTAGAATGTAAAAATGTGCCCTTATTTGCAAATACGTGGTGAACTGTTTACTTGTTCAAAATGACTGATTCATATAAGTTCGGCTGGGACCCACTGTTGTGGACCACGAGGGGTGCCTAGCACCTTCCCCTCAAGGTTATTTCGAGCCCTTACCCTAATCTCTAGTAATGCAAACTAGTTTCATGAGTTAATTACTCTAGGTGCCCTAACGTACCTTAATCCGTTAGGTGGCGACTCTTCAAATACCCGATTCCCAAAAGGAAAAAGAGTTGTTCCCACATGAAATATCGAAACCCGGACGTTCTCCGCGAGGAGAAAAAAAAGGGGGCGCGACAATGAGCTGGTGCGTTTTGTGTGGTAGACATATTTTGGCCTGAAATCAAAAAATCTTTGACAAGAAAAAGTGTGAAGAATAACGTGTGTTATCAGAAAACTAGCACTAAAATAATCATTATTATCTTTAGCCCCACGGTGAGCACCAAACTGTTTACCTCGAAAAATGTGAGTGACAATTAAAGATAACTTGTGGTTTTAAAGATATGTGATATATTCTAATACTAGTTATTATACAAGTAACACTAAACTTGAGTAAGAAGAAATGATGAACCAAATCAGTGTTGTTGAACCAATGGGGGCCTCGAGCTTGGTTATCCCAGGGACCTCGAGGTTAGCTAAGAGCAATAAAGTAGGAACAATAAAATAAAGACAAAAAAGGTGAAGAACAATTGTTGAGCATGTTAAACAAGGAAAGCAGAATAGAATGTTCTATTGCAGTGAATGATCCTTACAAAATGATTGGGGTCCCCTTTATATAGGAGGAGAAAACCCCAATATAGTACATTCCTAATTGTGGTATAAAATTCTATTGGTACAGGTGTATAACAACCTAGTACGGACCTGTACCATTTCGTACAAATCTTATCCTTTAATTTATGCCCTGGTCTACGTGTCCTTGAAAAATTCTCGCTCTTTCTTGATTGACTTCGAGATTGTGCTGCCCTCGATGTAGGTCGTGTCAGACCTTCGATCAGCTTCCTCGAGGTATATGTCCCTCAGCAGGGTCCGACCTCCATTTCGAGTTGCCCGGACTTGGACTCATAGCCCAATTTAAGACTTCGAAATCGGGCTCCTTGATTTTGACCGTATACATGTATTTGTCCTTTGGTAGCTATTTTAAACAAAAAAGAAAGATTAGAAAAATTATAGAAATTTCCAGAGGCACAAAAATAAAGCAAAATTATACCGCCAGAGACATATATACACCCAGCTGCAACCTACCTCAATTCATCAACGTAGTTTTTGATCAGTCTCTTCATTTGCTCACAATTTCAAATAACTTGAGCATTTGCAAAGATTATATTTATTTTAAAGAGCAAAATAATTGCAAGGAATTGAAGAGACCATTGATCATTATCCTAATAAATGTTATTTATTATATTGGATTATTCATTTCCTTGATTGCTAGCTTCACATTATAAGAGGAGAGAAGAAAAGTTTGTTTAACGCACCGGATTTATACGGAATAATGGGGGTGATTCATGTATTAATTAAAAGAAATTAACTTTATATAAATTCAATACCTTAGATACATGTATCTACAGAATTTTAAAATTCCATGACTAACCTTGTAACTAACGTATGTTGTGTACTAAATTGAAGGTATTATTTAGTTTTATAAGGATCTAAAAGTCTATTAATTTTTAGTGGGCATTTAGGTAATTCAATCTTCTACTTAGGATCTTCCCACTTTTAGTATAAAAATAATAATAGTAATATTATATATATATATATATATATATATATATATATATATATATATATATATATATATATATATATANAGTTGTTTTAAACGCAAACACACACACACACACACACACACACACACACACACACATATATATATATATATATGTGTGTGTGTGTGTGTGTGTGTGAGTGTGTGTGAGTGTTTGCGTTTAAAACAACTTACCATCAAAAATTAAGGTTACAAAATAATAATCCGTCCATCGCAATTATGTGACATTTTTTACATTTCGAGATTCAAATTATATGAACTTTAATTTGACCAATATTTTAAAATATATTTTTTATCATATTGATATGAGAAGACTTACAACTTATAGCAGTTTTCGTGTTATTTTTGAATATTTAAATTTTAAGTTATGACTTAATCTAATCGATAAGCGATTACCATATTTGGACAATAAAAAAAGAGATATTATAGAAATCTGATCACATTTATTTTTTTCCCGCATATTCTTACATCTTCACATCAGATCTCTGATTTCTTTTTAAATCTCTTCTATATATTTCTTGTTGCCTCCACACTGAAATTCCCCAAAATTTGAGCTTCTTCAAAATCCATCACACACACACACACACATATTCTGACAGTCATGGAGCACAATAGCATAAACCCAAAAAATGGCTACTCTACTCATACCAAAACTTTCCACAGCCTAAGGTCATCACTCCCATTGCCACCTTTATCACAGCCCATTTCCATAATTCAGTACACACTCTCTCTCCTCAACTCCACAACCACCGCCACCACCTCTAACACCACTTTCCTCATCGACTCCACCACAGGCCGCCGCCTCTCTTACTCCGAATTCCTTCACAAAACCCAATCCCTTGCCTCTTCTCTCAAGATTCAATTCCCGTCCCTTTCCAAAAACGACGTCGCCTTTATCCTGTCTCCTCCATCGCTTCATGTTCCAATCCTCTACTTCGCCCTTCTCTCCCTTGGCATTGTTGTTTCCCCTGCTAACCCACTCTCTTCTTCTACCGAGTTGACTCACATGATCCAACTCAGTAAACCCACCATTGCTTTTACTACTTCATCGATTTCCCATAAACTCATCCCTTCATTTCCCCTCGGCACCATTTTAATTGACTCCCCCGAATTCCTTGAACCCCCCATTGCTACGCCTATCTCCAACTTCAACTCAATTGTTCACCAAACTGATTCGGCAGCTATTCTTTACTCCTCTGGAACTACTGGCCGAGTCAAGGGAGTCGAGTTGACTCACCGGAATTTGATTGCCTTAACTGCCGGCTTATACAATAACAAATTCACCAGCGACGAAAGTGAAAATGCAGAGCAAGACGTGGCGATTTTGACGTTGCCGTTGTTTCACGTTTTTGGATTCTTCATGCTGATTAGGTTAGCGGCGATGGGGGAAACGGCGGTGATAATGGAGAGATTCGATTTCGAGAAGATGTTGGAGGCGGTGGAGAAGTATAAGGTGACGTACATGCCTGTGTCTCCGCCCTTGGTGGTGGCGATGGCGAAGTCGGAGTTGGTACTGAAGTATGATCTGACGTCGCTGAAGCTGGTGGCGTGCGGCGGAGCGCCGCTAGGAAGGGAGGTGGCTGAGCGGTTCAAGGCGAGGTTCTCTAACGTGGAGATTGTGCAGGTATGTGTTTGACGATCACGCGCTTGACTGAATTTTGAGTTTTGTAACTGTTCTTTGGAAATGGTTTAGTTGTTTTTCTTTCGGATGACATTTGTCCTTGATTTTGTCTGTGCATATGAACGTCAATTGACTTAATTTAATTTTGTAACATAAATGGCACGTGCAAAGAAATTTCCTGTGTTTTATTTAGGCTTGAATAATTTTTGTTTTTTATTTTTTATTAATATCCCATAGAAAAGGATATATAACCAAAATAAATTTATGATGAATTAGAAAATCAAATCTTCTGAAATTGGTAAAGTGTTGCAATTTATTATTTTGTCGTAAATAATGTTAGAATTTGGATTTCCATTTTTGTATAATCAGCTTCACCAAAGGAATCTTCCAAAAACAAATACCTTGAGTTTTTTCTCTAAACAATTAGTATCGTAATGTCAATTGTAGTTTTCATAATCTCAATTGTGTACATTCTTGAGAATATTAATATTTGTGATTCTTTTTATACGTCTACTTATTTTTCTATTATTATCTCACGTCTATATTATTCATCTTTTAAATATTTTGCATATCTTTACTAAAATATTTATCTAAATTACCTTGTATACATTTTTCCTAAATGCCTCACTTAACGGACTTGAAGAAAAAGAAAGAGCAGTAAATGCTTCTTGTTCCCTGCATTAAATATTTTGATACAAATTCAGCTTGCCAAAACAATAAATCATATGGATTGGAGTTACCCCTCCGTTCACTTTTATTTGGCACGTTTTGACTTTTTACGGCCATTAAGAAATAATAAATGAAGTATATAATTTACCATGATACTCATATTAAATAATATATATTTTATTTGATTTGAGAAAATGATTTGAAATGAGTAATAAATACTATGGGTATAACAGGAAAAAAAAATTTGTCTTCTCTTGATATGCGTAAATTGACAAGTAAAAATAAAAATCTATTTTTAGTATACAAGCCAAGTAAAAGTAAACGGAGGGGAGTAGTAATTTGTAACACATTGGAGAAGTTCTTTTTTCATTTTTTTGAACATTTTTCCTCTCAAACACCTTTGCCTTCTGAACAGATTCTATTTGCAAAAGTTTTTCTCAAAAAACTTTTTCCAAATGGGTCTGCGTATTTCTTTCTTACAAGAATCTCAATAAAATTATTTTAAGAGCTTTTTGATATGGAATACTATTGTCTACCCGTAAAACTAGAGCTGTCAATATGGGCGAGAACGCGCTAACCCAGCCCAGCCCACGTGGACTTTAGCAATTGACAGGTTGGGCTGAGATAGCCCACTATTTTGATGGGCCTTATAATGGTTAGCCCCACCCCAGCCCTATGTGGGCTGTGGGCCCTCAAGGGTCGACCTATCATTTTTTAAAATATAATTTGCGAAGGGAAAAAGAGTACATCACATACTTTCAGTATAAGTGGTGCCCATCAGCAATAGTACCTTTTGAGGTGTGCCACATTCCCGTTGCTCGGTAATTTTACTTCATTTTGATTTTTCAATTCGTATGATCCTTCTTCGGTGAAAGCTGAAACCTGGTAGGGGCTTCCCACGCCGGACCCAGCTTTCCTGCGTTAAGCTCTCGGGTGTTTTGAGTCACTTTCCTTAAAACCAAATCTCCGCTTTGAATAACGGAGATTGACTCTTCGATTATAGTATCTTTCCTTTCTTTGTTTCTGGGCCACCATCCTTATATGAGCTAAGTCCCTGCATTCGTCGAGCAGTTTCAATCTAACCAATAACGCTTCGTTGTTTGCTTTTTCGTCCGCCCAGAAGTATCTCATCGTAGGTTCTCCTACTTCCACCGGGATCATGGAATTTTCTCGGTATACGAGAGAGAAAGGTGTCTCTCCCTTACTTAACTTGGCCGTCGTTCGGTATGCCAATAACACTCTCGGTAACTCTTCGGGCCATTTTGCCTTTGGCTGCTTCTAATCTTTTTTTGAGATTTTGAATTAATCACTTTGTTTGCCGATTCCACTTGGCCGTTTGCGCTCGGGTGGTATGGCGAAGATGTGATTCTTTTGATTTTCAAGTCCTTAAGGAATTTTGTGACATTTGCGTCTAAAAATTATGGCATGTTATTGCAGGCTATCTCCTTTGGTATCCCGAACCTGCAAATTATTTTCTCCCACAGGAAATTGACCACTTCGTGCTCGCCGATTTTCTGTTAGGGACCTACTTCAACCCACTTAGAGAAGTAGTCAGTTAAAACCAAAAGAAATCTTACCTTAACTGGAGCGGCAGCGGACCGACTATGTCCAACCCCCATTTCATGAATGGCCAAGGCGGCAATACCGAATGCAATAGTTCTACTGATTGATGCACCAACGACGCGTGGCCTTGACACTTGTCGCATTTTTGAACAAATGCCTTAGTGTCTTGTTCTATTCGGGGCAGTAGTACTCTGCCCTAATTAGCTTTAATACTAATGAGTCTACACCCAAGTGATTTACATAGATTTCTTCGTGAACTTCTCTCATGACGTAATTAGCCTCGGAGGCTCCTAAACATCGGGCCAACGGGCCTTGGAAAGACTTTCTATACAACTGGCCTCCCCTGAAGCAGAAATGAGCTGCTTTAGTGCAGAGTGCTCGGGATGCCTTGGGATTTTCTGGAAATTTGTCGTACTCAAGATAGTCGATGATCTCATTTCTCCAGTCCCAGACCAAATTGGTCGCATTTACATCATAATAACCATCCACATCCAATACTGAATGCATGAGCTACACGATCGTACCGGAGTCAGATCCCTTTATTTTCGTGGACGAGCCCTGGTTGGCCAGTGCGCCTGCTTCTGCGTTTCTTCCCTCGGGATGTGGGTGATTGACCATTCCTTGAACCGTGCGAGCAGAGTCTGGACTTTCACTACATATTGGTGTATGCGTTCCTCTTTGGTGTTGAAGATCCCGTACACCTAATTTACTACCTGTTGGGAATCACATTTGATTTCAATGACCTTGGAGTCTAGTCACGGGGCCAGTTAAAGTCCTGCAATCAAAGCCTTATACTCGGCCTCATTGCTAGTCAAGGGAACAGTTCTTATGGCCTGCCTTAGGGCTTTTCGAGGGCGTAATTAGTACTACCCTGAGCCCGAACACTTTCGCTTTAGAAGCTCCATCCGTGAACAAGGTCCAGACTCCCGATGTCCTTTTCCGACACCATCACCGCTTCTTTGGTGGCTAAAGGCAGCAGTCTTGGACTGAAATCGGCTACGAAGTCAGCCAAACCTTGTGATTGATCGAAGTCCTAGGTTTATACTCTATGTCAAATTCACTCATTTCGACTGCCTATTTGGCCAGTCGGCCTGAAAGTTCAGGTTTGTGAAGGATATTTCGTAGAAGAAAGGCTGTCACCACGGCTATCGGGTGGCATTGAAAATAAGGCCTAAGCTTTCGAGCGGCAACTAGGAGAGCTAAGGCTAATTTTTCGAGGTGTGGGCAGCGATCGAGTTTCCGCTCCCTGCTAAAATTTCACTAACATAATAGATATGAGATTGCATACCTTTGTTTTCACGAACTAAAACGGCACTTATCGCTACCTTTGATACTGCTAAGTAAATTAGCAATTGTTCGCCTTTCTCCGGTTTTGACAGTAACGGAGGGCTCGATAAATACCTTTTCAAATCGTTCAAGGCCTGCTGGCATTCCAGAGTCCATTCAAAGTTGTTCTTCTTTTTCAGAAGTGAGAAGAAGTGATGACATTTGTTTGAAGATCGAGAAATGAACATGCTTAAAGCGGCCAGTCTTCCCATTAACCTCCGAACCTCTTTCACATTTGATAGCTGGTCGGGAATGTCCTTGATGGCTTTGATTTTATCGGGATTAACTTCGATCCCCCTTTGTGACACCAGGAGACCTAAGAACTTACCGGAGCTGACTCTGAATGCACACTTTTCAGGGTTAAGTTTCATGTTGTGCTTCCTTAGGATGTGAAAGGTGTCTTGGAGGTGTTTAAGATGACCACCTGCGTTCAAAGACTTCAACAGCATAGCATCTATGTAAACTTCCATTGTTTTTCCTATTTATTTTTCAAAGGTTTATTCACAAGCCTCTGAGAAGTGGCTCCGGCATTCTTAAGCCCGAAGGCATCACATTATAGTAATATGTACCAAAGTTTGTTATGAACGAAGTTTTTTCTTGATCCACCAGGTATGGAGTTTTTTCTTGATCAGCCAGGTTCATTTTGATTTGGTTGTACCCGGAATAGGCATCACAACTCGTGCCCTGCTGTCGCATCAATCATTTGATCAATGTTTGGCAATAGGAACAAGTCTTTTTGGCATGTTTTATTCAGATCCTTATAATCCATGCATATGCGAAATTTATTATTCTTTGTTGGAACTACTACTACATTAGCTAAGCCAGTCAGGATACTTTACCCTTCAGATTGAACCGATATCAATCAATCGTGTTACCTCTATTTTGACAAACCTGTTTCTGACCTCAACAATAGAGCTTTTTTTTTTGTCTTTCCGTAGGGATGTTGGGATCCAAGCTTAACTTGTGCACGGCCACTCCTAATGGGATACCTGTCATATCCGCATGCGACCACGCAAAACAGTCAACATCAAATTTAAGAACTTATATAATACCTGAGCTGAGCTCAAGGTTTAGTTCTGTCCCCTAGTGGAATTTCCTTTCCAAGAAATTCTCGAACAATGCGACTTGTTCGAGTTCTTGTGCTGTTGATTTGGTTGCGTTCGTTTCTTCTAGTTGGTACCTAATAGGATTCCGATGACTCTCCCCTAGGTCGACTTCGTTTGGCTCGGGAGCAGGTGTCGGTTCCTGTAATTGCTATGCCGCATGTTCCTTCCCTTTTCTACTGGAAACCGAGATCGCGTTCATCTCCCAAGCCGCCGGTTAATCTCCTCTTATTTGTTTAATTCCCTTTGGAGTTGGGAATTTCAGAAGTGGATGGTATGTTGACGGCACAACCTTCATCTCGTGTAGCCATGGTCTTCCAAGAATAATGTTATAGCCCATGT